TGGAGCGTACATGAAGATTTGAGACACTTTCAAAATTGGGGGGAGCATTTTTTTTGAGATTTAAAAAAAAAGTCTGTGTATGCGAAGTGCATGTGCACTGACAGTTGTCAGTCATTGTCGTGAAATATCAAATTCATAAGGCTAAGGTACTTCTCATTCTTCCTAGTGCTTTTAATCTGTTTTCAGGAAGTCTACATCCATCACTTGTGAAAAAAACAGTAGCAAAGGGATTCAGAAATTAATGCACTTTCATTGGATCCACAGAGGAAGTCAGAATGTGCACTGATTCACATCATGTCCTGGAATTACTTCTTCAAACATAAATTTCAAGTAGGAGTAGAGTGCCATAAAAACACTTGTACGACCACTCTCGAGAGGTCTTCCTAAAAAAAGCTCAGTGCTTTAAGCTGAATACCAGTTTGATTTTTTTGTCTCCTGGGTAGGATTCAGTGAGCTGTTGTTAGTTTTCAGCAAGGGGAGGAGGGAGCAGTAAAACCTGAATTCTTCAGTAAGCCGCTGTGCATAGTTGGTAACTTTCTTAGGGGAATCATTTAAGGTGCAAGGAGGGTATATATTCACACAGTCTATATCTCCTTTTAGAGACCTGCAGTGTTTGTTTTGTGTATACATTTTGTCTATGCAATGAGAATTTTTTTTTATATGATCCTAAAGGAGGATATTTTCTTTTCTTATGGCTGACTTAGAAGTAGCAAGCAAGTGCACCAGATGAGAACTTTTTTTTTTCACCAGAAATCGTTTTTTTCATTCTTCCAAATAGAGCAGAACTGGATAGACTAAGTAAATTATAACACTCATTGTGGTCCTTAATTTTATTCTAATTAGATTTCAGACATGTTTTAGATAACGGAATTGTGGTGCTGTGATTTTGTTTGTCCTTAATAATACAGCAGTAGTTGAAAAAGGAGATTCCAGAATTAAAAGCATAAACTTACAGCTAGGGGTGAAAGCTTTCTGGCAGGGTTTGTATCCTTCTGTGCACCACACACAGTGAAAATCTTGTCAAATAAGGCAAACTCACATTCTTCAGATTGCACATAAAGCAAAACTTGTGATACATGTTCACACATGAGTTACAAAATGTAATAACTATTTCTTTGCTAAACAGAAGAATTTTGTTTGTGTGAATTTCAAAGGAAGGAGATAAACAATTTTCCTGAATCATCTAGTCCTTGCTGTGGGATTATAAACTTTCCACTACTGATTATCTCTAAACTAAAATGGAGCGTGTCCTACAGGACAATAACATGATATTTTCAGAGACTGCTCCATAAAAAGTATAAAGATTGAGAGGGGAGAATGAAAATAACATAACAGACTCATTCAACATGTTATTTTTATGCAGAACATAAGTCTTAGGCTGCCAACGTTTAACTCTTTGGCTTTTCAGGGTTTAGCAAAGGTGAGTTATTTACTAACAAAGTACTAATGAAGTAAACAAAACTGATGGGGGTTTCTTTGGGTTTTTGTTTGGTTTCTTTTGGGGTTTTTTTTAGGTTTAGACTAATGTAAGCTTGAACAATTGCAAGTTTTCAGCCCAGCATCTAGATCTTGTAAATCTGTCTTTGTGTAGAAAGTAGTAGTCATCCTCTCCATAACTAGGGGGTCTGCCGTCTCTACTGAAGTAGAGTAACTGATACAGAAGTGAATGTCTCAGGAAGAGCCATACTTGCAGAGTTCTAGGAGGCAAGGGAAATATTTAAGATTCCTAATACAAGAGTTTTCCAAATCAAATGAGTGGAGATTATTAATGGAAGCTAGTAATTCTTAGTGTTCTGTTACTGGCTCATTGCTGGGGCGTATCTTTAAATCTTCTAGTGGCTTTTTACTGTGGTCATTTCAGCTGGGCACTTAAACTTCAGATCTAAGTGCACACACTTACAAAAAAGAGGAAAAATAGAGCTAGCTGTGGTCTAAAAGAATTTCACTTTGGGGCTGCTGAGAGCCCTACATTTTTTGGGGAGCAGATTCTATTAAAGTGGAAGGGCTCTTCCCTAACTTCTGCAGGTCCATAGAAATTATTGCCTTTTGCTTTACAAACTTTGGTTTAGGTCTTCTTACACAGCTAGGCGCATCGACACACACAGTAGTTTGTTGAATATTGTCAAGGAAATCACATTTAAATTGAAGAGATTGATTTTCCTTTCCCTTATTTCATTTCTGCAACTAAACGTGAAGTATGAAAATCATTAAACTTTTTTTTTTTTCTGTTCTCCTAAAAGTTTAACCAAACTAATAAATTCTGTATGGTAAGTAAGATTCCCATATTAAATAAGAATTCTCTCTCTCTTTATCTTTTAAGTTCGTGGTTCTAACTGTGTGTTTGAAGGCTGGATTAGAAACCTCATATTGGACTTTGGTAAGCAAATGTCTTCACCGTATTCTCAAATGTTTTGTAAAATATGATGGATGAATAATTGTATTATTTTCTTCTTCTTTATTATATTACACACTTACAGTTTGCCAGCCCTCCCCACAGTATCAAGCTAAACTGTGGTAACTGCATGGAAAGGTGGAATATTTACATATGAAAAATAATGCTTAATATTGAAAAAGAGGGACATTGGAATGACACTTAAAGTAGTCCTTAACTAAAAAAATCAAATTACTCTGAACTGATTGTAATTGAGCTTAAACTGAATTAAAATGTGGTAATATTGCTGCTGAAAGTAGCAGAGTTAAATTAATACAAGGCATGGAAAATTCATCCAATATATCAAAATCACATTGTAAATACTAAGTAGCAAAGACTTTCTTTTTTTTGTCATAATACATCCATGATGATTGTTCTGGTTTGTTTGTTTTTTTTGTTTTAACAGTTCAGCCATATAGCTATCTGGGGCAGCATAGCACTTTGGGTAGTGTTTTTTGGAATCTACTCTTCTTTGTGGCCAGTCATTCCTATGGCACCTGATATGTCAGGAGAGGTAAATGTATATTTTAACTAATATCTGAATGTGTGCAAAGAATAAATACCTTGGGGTTTGAACTCAACATGACACCAAAGTAGTCTGACTTAAGAACCCAAATTCATTTATTTGTTGTGATAAGACTGTATCTGTACTTGGAATGGACAGCGTTACTCTGTCAGTGTGTTTGTATATGCATGTATGTGTATATAGTAGCTTTAGATATGTGTACATGCGTGCAGTTGTTTGGGGGGATGTTGTTGGGTGAGACTGGTTTCAGCTTTGATTTCTTTCTAAGAATATAGTTAGAAGTCTGTAACATCAGAATAAAGTCTCCTAAACATCTCATAGACTGTAAGAGCTTATTTTAAAAGCCTCTGGTCTAGCTTTTTGAGCTGTACCCTGTGGCTAAAAGTCCTGTTGACAAACACTGCGGCTCAGATTGGAAGCAGGATTTTTTTATGTTCTCCTGGAAGCCCCCTCACTGACCATATTGTCTCTGGCTGGGCAGAATTCACTGGGTTTCTCTGAAGCAAGTGTAGGCCTTCTATAAGTATTCAAACTAAAAGATTCACAAATTTAACTGTGGCAGAGATTTGGTGTAATAGAAACAAATCCATATGGACATCTCTGCTTGCCTGTGCAAATACTGCTTGTCTAACTTCTTCAGATGTGCAAGTCAGACTTGAAGACTTCATCCAAGTATATTTGGCAGAAATTAACAAGTCAAAAGCTGACCTCTACTTCTGTAGCTTTTTGTCTGTTTTGCCTTGACCTGATCTGATAAGTTATGCTGAACGGGATTTTCAGTGGTTTTTTTTCTAAATGTGTTCCTTTAAAATTCACCTCTTCAATAAACTCTAGCTTTATAAGGAGATTTTAATAACTATAGTCCTTATAAAGTTTAAATATATTCTCTTTCAGCTCCTTTCAGCTGGTAACAAGAGTTCTACCTTAGTGGGTTTATAGTCTTACAAGTCAGTATTCTTGATCTAATGTTCATCCAACCATTCAGTTCCAACTAGATGATATCTGTCTTCTACAAACATCTTTCTTCTGTCTAAAAGAAGCCATGAAAGAACCTACTGAAACACTCTAAGGATTCAATCTAACTTCTTCATATTAATGTCATGAAAATAATAGGATTCTTGCTGCTTATTGCTGGTTCTCTTCCAAGAAAATAAAATACTAATGCTCTTGAAGGGGAGAGAAAAAGCATGTGGAGCTGATGGAAAACTCATTCATTCGATGCAGAGGAAGGGTTTCATCTAAATATTTTGAAACTCAAAAAATACCTATACAGCTGTGATAAATGTGTTTAAATGGAGAATACTACAAGATGATGCCTCAAGGGAAAAATAGAGTTGTAGTAGAAGAAAAGAGTCTGTTTATGCTGCAAAAACACTCTTGCGTTGGAGCACTGAAGCTAGCAGCCCAAAGTTAAATCATAAGAATCTGAACAAAGAAACAAGTATCTCACATATTTTTGCAAGTTTTCCCTGCTTTTTACACTAATGTAGTTTCCATCATTTTGTGTATCATTCCAATTGTAATGGAAGACAATTAAAGATAATTAAAGTTGGCTTTTACATACGTGTTGCTGTATGTTAGTAATCGAGAAGGAAAGATTGTAGAATGCTGTGCTCTAAAAGAAAATATAGTGAAATGAAAAATGGTTACTTTCTGACATGTCAGCAGTTTTGTTCATTGTCTAGGCCACTACCCCCCCTTCTTTGACATGTTCTAATACAATAAGCAAGTGTGTTTTTCTTTCTTTCTCTTTTGCTGTGAGTTCTCCCAAAAAAAGCCAAACAAGGACCCCTCTGATCCAAAATGCCCCACTGATCTAGAATGCTGAGGCAGTTAAGGCATAATGACCTTTGTTTGCTGGTCTTTCAAGATTGCTACTCCCACATTGAACCAACTCATCCCAACTAGACAACACTGTTCCACACAGCATGGATACCAGATGGCTCTCCATGTTACAGTACTCCTAAGTCCTACAGATGGTGGTAACTAGCTTGCCAAATAGGTAGTGCACCAGAAGAGTTGAAAGGTGGCTTCTGGCACAACTGTTCTCCTGATACGAATAACTGGTAGTTACAGAGCTGATATCTGTTAAGAGATTGATAATAGGCATGTGGGTGATAGTAGCTGAAGCATGTTCCTTTAAAAATTCTGACAAAACCTTAGAATCAGCATTCAAACAAGAAACCAGTTACATCTTGTCAACCTTAAAACAGTTTCTATTTCAGTTGTGTTTGTTGGTTTTTTTTTTTAAAAAAGTCCCTAGTGAAGAAAACTTCATTCATTTTCCTTGACTGATGATGTTCAGATGAAAACTGTCAGTTCACCATTGTCTTTCTGCAGACACAGCCTAGAAGGAAAAATGGATGAAAAATGTGAGAGAAGCAATGGGATTTATGAAGCAGAAGAAAATGGAAAAATAGGCTGTAAAATTGAGGAAGGATATGTGATAAAAAAGGGGTGATAACCTAAGTACTTAATTATATAGTATCCATGGCTAGTTCAGGTACTGTAGCAGATCAACTTTAAGTTATGAGTCTCTTAGTAGTCTGAAACAAGACTTACGTATTTTACCTTTAAGCTGATTTTTATTATTTACCTTCATATTATTTTTGTTTGTACATTGGACTCATTCATTTAAAAATTTCTCCTCTTGAGTTTATTCTAAGAATTAGGGACTGTATTATTCTAGTCATAGACACAGATGCTAAGTTTTGTCTGCTCATACCAAAGTGTTAAAATACCTTTTCTACCAGGAGGATTTTGGTAGTAGTAGTAAAACATTATTTCTGTTGGAGGGGACTTGATGCACAGTATATGAGAAAGGAACATGGAAAACATTTCAAAATTTTTCAGTGATTTTGTAACAACTTTGCAATCTCAACATAGTCTTTATTACAGTACAATGTTTATCTGCAGTAATGTGTATTCCCGCATCTGTTGTCTGTTAGAACTGTCTAGTGTGGAAACATCTGAACAACCAGCTTTACAGGTTATTTTCTTAATAATTTACCTGTAAAGATTGTGCTTTTAAGTACAGATGCACAAGAAAGAAGGAAAAAAAAATCCATCTTTGTAGGCATTTTGTGTTTAGAGTTAACATCATTATGGAGAAGTGGGTCATACCACAGGACAGCTGTTTTGATCTGTTACATGAAACAAGCTCCATTTAAGTTCAGAAAAAGTGCCACTACAGACTAGAATATTTCCACTGCAGACCTGAGTAAATCGACTGCATGGATCTCTTTGTCTACTACGTTGATGTAACCGAAGTTGATTCTTTTATGTGTAGATTTCATACTAGTACAACTGCTGACTTTTGGGTTTGTTCTGTTGAGTGCTCTGAGTTTTTAGGCCTTTTTTTATACACCTACCTGGTTAGTAAGTTATCTTAAAATTATAACACTTACTGGAATAAGAAGTATGACATTGAGATTAAAAGCAAAAGTTCAGTATCTGCAGAACTTTTTAATATATTGTGGTACTGTAGATAATGCACTGTAAAGTTCCCCAGAGCACCATCTGTTTCTTCTCTGTCTGACCCAGGGGATCTATAAAACCACTGACGGAAATTGAAGTTAAGGAACAAGCATGTATTTTACAGAATTTTAGTTCATTTGATTGAGGCTTGCAGAATCTTTGTGAAAAACAATAGTATTCCTTGTTGGATGATTTAGCTGCACCACGTGGGAAAGATGTAGTAGAGTATACTATATTAACAGTATTAGTTTCTTAAATACTGCTTCCCTCTGTATTACTCCATATAACCTGCTTATAATGGAATTGTGTGTCTTAAAATACTAGACATACATCCTTTAATCCTCTTACTGATTTTTTTTTTTTAACACAAAAAGCTGGGGGGGAAGCCCCAAAACAACCACCAAAAAAAACCAAACACTTCTTAAAAAGTTGTCCAGATACTTCAATCTCTAATGAACAGGTCTTCTCTGGGGAGATGTTTGTCTGAAGTCTGGTCTGAAAGGGGGCATTTGTTTTAATCTAATGGAGAGCAAAGCCAATATTCAGGCTAGTATACAATCATAGAATGGTTGAGGTTGGAATGGACCTCTGGAGGTCATCTGGTCCAACCCCTCCAGCACCTCGAGCAAGTTGCCCAGGACCATGTCCAGTAGGCAATATTGCCAGGGATGGAGACTCCACAACATCCCTGGACAACCAGTGTCAGTGTTCAGTCACCCTCACAACAAAAAAGTATTTCCTGATGTTCAGATGGAGCCTCCTGTGTTTCAGTTTGTGCTCATTGCTTCTTGTCCTGTCACAGAGTACCACTGGAAATAGCCTAGCTTCATCATCTTTACACCTTCCCTTCAGGAATCTACCTCCATTGATAAGATCCCCTGAACCTTCTTTCTCCTAAACTAGATAGTCCCAATTCTCTCAGCTTTTCTTTTTAAATGAGAGATGCTCTGGGCCCTTCATCATCTTCGTGGCCCTTTGTTGGACTCTCTCCAGTATGTCTGTGGCTCTTGTACTGGGGAGCTCAGAACTGGACACTTCTCTAGGTGTGACCTCAACAGTGCTGAGCAGAGAGGACCTCCCTTGACCTCTGCTGGCAATACTTTGTCTCATAAAACTGAAGATACCATTCACCACCTTTGCCGCAAGGGCGTATTGTTGGCTCATGTTCAACCTGTTGTTCACCAGGACCTCCAAGTCCTTTTCTGCAAAGCTGCTTCTCGGCTGGCTGGTCCCCAGCATGTATTGCTGCATAGGGTTGTTCCTCCCCAGGTGCAGGACTTTGGACTTCTTGTTCAGCTGCATGAGATTCCTGTCAGCCCATTTCTTCAGCCTGTTGAAGTCTCTCTGAATGGCAACACAGCCCTCTGGTGCATCTGCTGCTTCTTCCAATTTTGTGTCATTAGCAAACTTCCTGAGGGTACTCTCTACCCCATCATCCAGACCCTTAATGAAGATGTTAAACAGGACTGGACCACAGTATTGATGCCTGAGGTACACTTGGCCTCCAGCGA